ATCGATCACCTTATTTCATGGCGAAAGGGTTAGTTTAGAGCAGGAGCAGGAAATTTTCTCCAATTTTTCTGAATTCGTGATTTGCAACATACCTCCAACTGAGACTGAACATACTCGAGTTTCGTGAGTTTCTCGTGTAATTGTGAATTCTCACGTTCAAGCTTTTCCAGTCGATCAAGCTGAAATGTGCTCAGAATCAGAAAGCTGTGATGTGGCATGGACTAGAACCAACCTTCTGTTGGACACAATCCAGCTCGTCCCGCAGGTCCTTTGCTGCACGTGCGTCTTTCACAAGCTCTATTCGTTCGTCTTTTAGCTTTCGAACCTGAACTACCAAAATATCCTCTACATAAGAAGGTTCAAGAGTTTCCTCGGTTGTCGCTGAACTGACCTCGGCTTCCGCCGCTTCCAATTCGTCGCTGAGTTCGTTAATTCGGTCGTCTTTATCTTCCCTGAAAATAACTATTAGACTGTTCGTCTGTGTTCAACGGCAAACGGTTTTGTGGTGAAAACTAAAGTAATAGGCACATCCGCTGCGCGATCTCTTAAGCGGTGCAACTTGACGACGGGGGAGGGGCATTTTGCACTTTCGCTACTTCCCATCGACGTGTCGACCTATCTAGGCAGCCTCTTCTCGAGTTGACAGGTTTTACCATGATGGCTAGATGAGCTTGCTCCAGCTTCACAAGAGTTCACAGGTTTCGCCAGAGTGAGACTTGTAAACCGGAACTAGGGAAGCAATGATAGTACAAAATGCCCCCCCCCGTCGTCGGGAAACTGCGCCTCTTAGCCCGGTGCTCTCTTCTATTCTTCTATCCAATGGATGTATGAATACATACGTGCAGCCGTCGCAGCGGTTGTTGGCACTATATAGCAGGGAACTCGTCCAAAAATGCTCGTCCAATACCGTGCAGAACGAAGTTTTTTCTCAGGTTCTAGGCTTTTAAGTTCCATTTTTTTCGTCATTTTTTCCCTTTATATAGCACCCTTGCTGCTACTGTTTTCGACTGCCAAAATCGAGCCTTATGTGTTTCGAAAAAAGCTAAAAAGGCTGAAGGTGCCCTTCCGTGGCCTGTACCAAGTTTTTTTCCTCACCACTGTAATTCTTCAATTACTATGTAATTTTTGATTTGCACTGCTTTTCAAATTGTCAACGCAGAGGGAAATCTAAAAGTTTCTTTGGTACAAGTATTTCTGAAAGGAGTAATTGGCAATCATGGAATTCTCGAAAACCATTACTCATGACCTTAATGTCCGTTTCTTTTCTCGTCAATCATAGAACTAGTAAAGAACCTCACGTTTCTTTGCGAAGTTTTCGGAGCTCGGCGTTTTTGGCGCTCAGTTCAACTGTGGAATGCCGGTCAAGGTAAGGCGGTGATGGGGTGCGTCGACCTGAACTCACTAAATATTCTGATGAAAAAGAAACAAATACAATAGATATGACCTTAACCGACTGAGAACTGCAAAAAAGGTTGTTTGTTTCATATATTGACTATAGTTGACTTAAGGACATATGCAATGTTGATCAGGTGGGCGGAGTCAGTCCGGTGATTGTGCGTCTCAACAGTGCAGTTTTCGACTTTGTCGCCATACAAGATGAGGGATGCGCTAGTGGGATGGCACGTTGGAAGGACGTGTTCTACCAAAAGACCGGGGTGAACTATGCCTTTAACGCTCAGTTTCTATTTATAATAAAACATTGAATAAACCGAATTTGGCTGAAATTCTTCAAAATAATATTACTCAGCAGGTTATGGAAGGGTTTTACGTATTGGAGATATAGCAGGGAACTCTGAGTGTTTAGCGCTAAATGATTCCTCTGGGTAATAGATTGAAGGAGATCACTTTATCCCAGGCCCCCGTTATTTCTCAGGGCCCTATCTGCTCGGTACAGTACCGCACACATGATGTGTATCGCGGCCACCTTAGAAGTTGTGCCATCCCGGGTGGGCGCAGTTTACCGACGGGGAGGGGCATTTTGCACTTTCGTTGCTTCACTAGTTCTGGTTCACTGAAACCTGTGAAACCTTGTGAAGCTGGAGCAAGCTCGTCAAGCCATCAGGGTAAATACCTGTCAACTCGAGAAGAGGCTGTAATGTCGATGTCGACACATCGATATTAAGTAAGAAACGTGCAAAATGCCCCCC